TTCGAATTTTATTGAAATATATTCTGTTAATAAACTTATAATAATAATAAGAGGATAACATAAGCGTGTACTTTGGTAGTTAAGGGTTCAATAAACCATATTTTGCAAAAAGGAAAAAAGTTTGTGTTTAAAAGAATTAAATTACCTTTAAAAAATTCTAATGTACTGTCGTTTTTCACCAGGACACTATCTGTGGTTTACTGGCAGTGGGAATATACAACTGTGGTCTTCTACGATCCCTCGAACAAGCCCACGATGTATGTTGGAATTAGCTTTATATCAGGTCGAAATGAACGATGGTGTTATCAATTTAGTCATAATTACAAATAATACAAGCTCAATTACTGGCGAAAAGCAAGGGAATAATCGTGCAAGGTACGTAATTGTTATGTCATTGCCAGAATACGAAAGCATTCCGTTGTTATCTCTCAAATGAATTCACTTAAATGTTATAGGTGGGAGAAATTATTATTTATTTTAGGCGCAATTAGTCAGCCGCACCAACTCTTACTGGAATTCTTTATACCCCATGAGAACTCAAGCGTCGGTGTTGATAATATTCGTTTGATCGATTGTTTTCAACGTAAGTATCATCCTTTGGTAAGAACTAATTGATAAACGAATTTTCTCATTCAAATCGATATTTGTCTACACTGAGCATGACACATTTTTGTACATTTCATTTTGATTCGATATCAGCACGTAAATATTGTTCATTTATATAGAAATAACATTTCTTCGTTCGTTTCGAATTTGCTTCGTTACGCTTCGTGAATAATTTTATCATTATTTGAAATAATATTAGGTCTACCGGAAAGTTCTGTCCGTTTGAGAAAAAAATGAAAGGAAATAATAGATTTTTCATAAATTTAGTAATATTTATATCTGTCTCTTATACACATCTAGATGTGTATAAGAGACAGGTCTACCGGAAAGTTCTGTCCGTTTGAGAAATGAAAGGAAATAATAGATTTTTCATAAATTTAGTAATATTTATATCTGTCTCTTATACACATCTAGATGTGTATAAGAGACAGGTCTACCGGAAAGTTCTGTCTGATAATGTCATCGCAAATTTCAATAGATATGCACATATTCATTTGAGACATATATTTTTGAAAAATGTTGCTCACAAATTGCCATCACGCTGGCAAGAGGTCATAAGTAACGACGGAAATTATATTGTACAATATAATTTCCGTCGTTACTTATGACCTCTTGCCAGCGTGATGGCAATTTGTGAGCAACATTTTTCAAAAATATATGTCTCAAATGAATATGTGCATATCTATTGAAATTTGCAATGACATTATCAGACAGAACTTTCCGGTAGACCTAATAATTTTACATCATTGTGAAATTCTTTTTCTAAATTATACGTTGATCTAATTTATCAACTCTGCGAGTCTGGTTTATACCGACATTTCTGCCGGATAAAAGGAACGACGTGATCACGTTAAATAATTATCCGATAATAAAAACCATTTTTCTAAAGAATAACAACCCTCTTTCATCTATCGCATCAGCGGAACGATTATTTTCGTTCACGGCAATATTGGAATTTTATTAAAAACAGAAAAAAATAATAATATTGAAAAGAGCCTTGTTCGAAGCAAATTGGTGTAAAGATTTCTAAAAATAAAACCTTTTTGTCCCATGTTATTTCAAGGATTATTTCATTGGTCATATTTAATTGATTATTTTTATTTGCAAATAATAGCATCGAAAATGATGTTGCGAAATGAATTATTTCAAAAATCTATGTGACAAATTATTTCAATTACGTGATTTTTTACTTCGAGTTTAAGTAAAATTTGCCGAGTCTGTGTGGTGCAAACGAATGCCAGGTGTCAGAAGGGAAGAAAAATTTAAATATTTGTCCCCGTTTACAGAAACGCCATTGGTAAGAACGGTCTGCACGAAAGACATGTTTCGGTGTAACAATGGCACGTGTTTAAACAATACGCAGATATGCGACCTAATAGAAGACTGTCCCGATGGCGAAGACGAAAAGCAGAACTGCGGTAATTGGCAAATTATTGCTTCCCCTTTTTTTCGGTTTAGTTTGGCTCGTCTAACGTATGACAGACTATAATCGAAGAGCATTTCAGACAAAATTCCAAAGAATGCCAGATGTAATTTTGAAGACGGATGGTGTGGTTGGAAGAACGTGTCTGGAAAACTTTTAAATTGGACACTTCACAGGGGTGCGACACCGTCTGGCAAAACTGGACCTAGTCACGATCATACATTCCGCAATCAGTCTGGTAGGTGTAAATATAAGTATACTGCATCCATTTCGCGTACACTGTCATAAAAAAATATTTAATCACTTGTTCGACGATGATTAAAAATGAGTGGATTAAGACAGATTAGAATAGACTTCAAAGATATCGCTGTAGCATCAACCTATTAAAATGATCCATGAGAGGAAGAACAATTTGGTTTATTATTTATTACAACTGATGTAGAAAATTGAAGAACCATCTGACACAAAAGAGAGCTACGAATTCTTATTTTTTTGTTATTATTAAACCATTAATTGAGCTGAAACTTCTTTTTAGATAATAATAATCTTTGCAGAGAGAAATCTCATTTATAATATATTTTTCAATAAAAATTATTACACATGTGGAATTCACGATTCATACATTGAGACGTTGATCATGGCCATGGCTTCATAAACTGTGGAAACTCTTATCTTTTCTATTAATTTCGAAAAAGCAATTTAATTTTTATTAGATGCGAACGCTGAAAATCATTAAGTATTTATGTGCAGTAGTACAAACCTTATTATTACCTTAAATTAAATTCATGTGTAAATTGTATTGAACATTTTTTAACAAT